GGTCACCGTTTTGAAACGTTGTTTCCATAAGAACTTGTTCAAGTTCTGGAGATCTAATATTGGTCACCATCCGCCCTATTTCTTCTGGGTGAGGAACTAATAGGAATAGAATCCCCTGCCTCTGAATTGTGCTGGAACTGGTTCTACTGCACCAGTGTAGAGAAGATGGTCGACTTCGGTGCATAGCAGGGATTCGTGAGATGGGTCCCTGAAGAGGGACAGGGGGGGGGGGGGGGAAGTGGAGAAAATGTTGATGAAGGGTATGGAGTATCCTGATTGGATTATCTCTAACACCCATCTGTCTGTGGTAATTGAGGCCTATTGATGGTAGAAGGGCCTCAGGCAGCGACAGTATTGGTGACCTTGGTGACTTTTGCTGGTATTTGCGTTTGTCTGCGTACCCTCGACCGAGGTGTCAAACCTACTGGTTGGTGTTCATTGGCATCTGGGTGCGATGCATCTGTGGTCTTTGTCTGTTCCGTTGGTGATCAATGGCCCTCTGCTGGTTCTGCCATTGTTGTCGGACGTAAGGGTAGTCATAGCATTTATGATATGGGGGATAACATCGACACCAATACAGAAGGGTGTACATGCCCAGCGTCCGCAGTGTTGTTCAAGAGTCCTTGGAGGAGTGTAGCACACTGTCGGTTTTCTCAGAAAATAGTTTGTCCCTGTCGAAGGGCAAATCCTCGACTTTAGTCTGGAGGTCTTTGGGGACTGCGGCCAATTGAAGGTAAGATGCTTGTTGCATCATTACCGCTGTGGCGGTGGATCTTGCTGCTGTGTCTGCTATATCCATGGCTATTTGTAGGGCAGTTCTGGCTGATGTGTAGCCCTCCTGGACCACCGATTTGAGTATGGGCCGCTTTACTTCCGGCAGATGATCTAGCAGGGGTGTGAGTTTCATGAAATTGTCAAATATGTGGTTAGAAAGGTGTGCTGTGTAGTCCGCTATCCGGAGCATGAGTGTCACGGATATGTACACCTTCCTACCAAGTAAGTCCAATCACTTTACATCCTTGTTGGAGGTATTTCTGTATTGAGGGGCTTTCGATCTTTGCTATGCTGCATCCACCACTAAAGAGTTCGATTGGGGATGGGTAAAAAAGAACTCCATTCCCTTACTTTGATGACTGCCTAATCAAAGGCAGGTCTTCTACCGAGACATCTACAATGGTCACTGTGGTCAGACACACCTTCTGCGAATTGGGTTTCTTATCAACGACCAAAAGTCCACTTTTCTTCTGACCCAGGACTTAGAATTCATCGGTACCTGTCTCGACGCCACCTCAGCAAGGGCTTATCTACCCTTTCAAAGGTTCGACGCTGTTCAGGAGCTCATAGGAATTGTCCAACACAGTCTTACCGTCCAGATTATCACATGCCTCCACCTCATGGGTCATATTGCTGAGACCACTTACGTGGTACGTCACGCCAGGCTCCACTTTTGCAGCCTTCAACACTGGCTTGCCCAAGTGTACAATCATACCAAGCACGAATTACACAGAACAGTGATTCCTCCACAATCTCTTCTCACGTTGCTCGCTTGGTGGACCAATGCCAGAAACCTCCTCACTGGCGTACCTTTTCAACAACAGCAACCAACGTACCACATAACTACGGACGCTTCTCTTATAGGATGGGGTGCACACATGGGCACAATGTCAGTACAAGCTCAATGGTCACTTTCAGAGGCACATCTCCATATAAATCTCCTCAAGTTGCGAGCAATATACAATGCCTGCAAATACTTGCAACCTCAGATCTGCGGATCCACGGTGAGGATTCTCACAGACAACGTAGCCGCTATGTAATATGTGAACCGTCGGGGGTGTGTGTGTCTCGATCCCATTCCCTATGTAGGGAGGCAGTCCAGTTCTGGAACTGGTGCATTCACCATGCAATAACACCTGTGGCATCTTACTTACCTGGCGCTACAAACATGACAGCAGATTTCCTCAGCAGGCACTTAGCCCAGGAACATGAGTGGGAACTGCACAATGGAGTTCTCAGCCTTCTCTTTCACCGCTGGGGTACTCCCATAATAGATTTGTTCGCAACTCACCTCAACAAGAAATGCAGAAAGTATTGTTCCAGAGCGGGCATAGGTCCGGCCTCCCTCGGCGATATCTTCTTGATCAGCTAGACTGGCCCTCTCCTGTATGAATTTCCACCAACCCCTCTGATTCCCAGAGTCATCCGGAAGGTGAAATCGGACAAGGCCCAAATCATCTTCAGAGCTCCAGCGTGGGCACACCAACATTGGTTCCCCTTTCTTCGACACGTCGCCTCTGCCACCTTTTCCGCTCCCAGCCTCCCCAAACCTTCTCCATACACTGAACCTGACCGCACAGCTCCTCGCTAGCTAAACCCCATGGAAGACCTCTGCTCCTCACAAGTTAAAGATATCCTCATCCACAGTAGACAACAGACGACTAGAAACACTTACCTGTCAAAATGGCATCGTTTCGTGTCGTGGTGCACAGCTCACAATGAATGTCCGGAATCGACCCCACTTTCTGTCACTCTCAACTATTTACTTCACCTAAAGCAAATAAGATTGGCTCTATCATCACTTAAGTTCCACCCAGCAGCCATTTCAGCCTTCAGGCAACCTTTTGGGGACACCTCTCTGTTTGCGCACCCGATTATGAAAAGATTTTTCAAGGGCCTGATCAACCTACGGCCCTTGAAGGGCCTCCTCAGGAGCCCACTCTCCCCCCAGAACTTGGATGTTGTGCTCGAAGCACTGACCAATCCGTCATTTAAACCACTGGCTATGGTGCCTCTCTGCTTATTAACCATGAAAGTACTTTTTCTCCTTGCGATTACTTTGGCACATAGAGTGAGCAAATTATCGGCTCTCATGGCGATCCTGCCATATACGATATTTAGTGAGGACAGCGAAATACTGCGTCTCCATCCTAAGTTCATACCCAAAGTGTCATCGAGTTTCCACATAAACGAACCGATCGTCCTCCCTTCCTTCTACTAGAAACCACGTACTTCTCCAAGGGAGGCAGCCCTCCATACTCTCGATGTTAGGAGAGCCCTAGCGTTCTACATAGACCGTACCAAGGACTTTAGGAGGACAGACAATTAGATAGTTTCCCTGGCTCATAAATCAAAAGGGCAACAATTATCCTCCCAGCGTATCTCCAAGCTCATTATCAGTTGCATCACCGAGGCATATGCCTTGAGACATATTCCTCTCCTGATACAGCCCCGGGCCCATTCTACAATGGTGATGGCAGCCTCTATGGCATTCCTCAAGGGTGTCTCTTTTAAGGACATATGTAGAGCAGTGACTTGGTCCTCCCATGTCACTTTCGTTAAACATTATGCCATACATCAAGGCAGGCTCTCAGCGGCCATGGTGGCATCAGCGGTGCTCTCTTCAGCAGATAAATAGGACTCCGATAAGAATTTTTCCTTCCTTCCTGCTGTTGGGGCACTGCTGCACAGTCACCTTTGGTGGAGCACCCACGGGACTCCTCGAAGAAGAAAGCGAAGTTACTCACCTCCGGTGCAATAACTGTTGTTCTTCGAGATGGTCCCCATGGGTGCTCCACTACCCGCCCTCCTCCCCACTTCGGAGTCCGTTCTTGTTTATTATATCTTCTAGATTCTGAGGTGGACTCGAGGAACTGGTAGGAGCCAGACTGCGCGCGTGCTCAGAGTGGCGCGAATGCTGCGAGATGCCACTGCGCATGCGCAGTCCGGTGGGGTACTGCTACACTAAAAGATCTCTGTTTCTGTGGTGCCGGGGCAAGCCCAGCACCTTCGGTGGAGCACCCACGGGGACCATCTCAACAAACGACAGTTACTGCACCGGAGGTGAGTAACTTCGCTTTCCAAACAATTTAATGTAATCACAAAATAGCTTTTGTATTTTGCTTAAGTAAGTCTCAGGTGCATGTCTGAAATATGTTTTCCATTAACTCTTGTACAAATAGAACTTCGCTCATGAAAATCAGAAAGGAATGGATATGAACATGACAAAAAGAAATGTGGCTTAATGTTTGCAGATATTTCCCTCAGCCTTTACCCAGCACATTCTCCAAGCGTTTTGTATCTTTCTCACTAATTTCCTCTTCACTTGAGGGATCTGAAAGGATTTTGTCATTTGGACTTGTCAATGGGTTTCAGTAGTTTTGAGGATGACATTGACAAGTACTTTAGGTTAAGATTGTCAAAACATATATTTGGGAATGCTCATCCTTGAAAGGTGACATGAAAAGGTGTGTGTGTGCATGTGCACATGTGTGGGGGGGTATGTTTGTGAGGTTTTGCTATTTTATATTGTATGCAGAAGTCTAGAAGTGAGTTTTGTCTTTTTTTTTTAAAAAAGAGGAAATAGTCTTGCCTTCCATTTTCTCAAGAGCATGCTATTAATAACCAGTGATCTAGTATTATGATGACATTGTAATCTAACTGGGAGGGGAATGGATTTATATTCAGACCATTTAAAAATCAGTGGGTTTGTTTTTTGAAAATCCTATTAAACTTAACTCAAATAACTAAAAAAGTTTAAAGAAAAAGTGTTAACGATTTCACAGTCCTATGTCTTCAATTAAAGACATTTCCCTCCTCACTCTCCCAGTTATTAAAAAAGAAAAATCCCTTTAAGTCTTGTTTCTACATCAAACTATGTGAAAAATTACCCTCTGAAGCTTTCAAACATGTTTTCTTTTGTTTGTTTGCTTTTACCTCTTTGGAAGTCTCCTTTAAGGTGAAAACCTTCCACGTCTGGCTTCAATCTGAGTAATTTCTTTCATCCTTCTAATTAAGTTAAATTTGAGCTTTAGGTGACTTATTTTACAGTTGCTGAAAATAAGCTTTAAATTTGCTTTAAAACCCCATGTCCACCAGGCCTCTAGTCAGCAAAAGACAAAGTTTTTGTCTCCTTATGCAAGCCAAGACTTAAAATTCTTCAAATAAAACAATTGAATGTACGTTTATTAAAATCAATTTTTACTCCATTGTATTTTTTTAAATAGTAACATGCCCACCTGGTAGATTCAGTGCAAGATATGATACCACATGTATTCTCTGTGCATCTGGGTCCTATAATAAAAAGTATGGGCAGACTGCCTGCAAAAACTGTCCAAAAGAACAAACTACTGAGAGAAGAGGAGCCACAACTGAAAGAGAGTGTCATGGTAAGTCATTTTCTGTAAAGCACACTGGATTGACAATGATAAATGTGGCATCTAATTGCTAGTTCTTCTTCAAGTGATTGTTCATATTCGTTCCATGTAGGTGTGTGTGTGCTGCATGCACGCATCATCAGAAATGTTTCCCTTACCACCATTGGGTCAGCAGGGGAACCCCCAGGAGTGGTATTTCTATATCTGCAAATATATACCCTTGCTGGCCCTCCACCTCCTCGTTCCTTCTTACTGCTCCTGGGGGTTGTTGGAAGGTAATCTACTCTTGCTTTGCAAGCACCTCTTAGCACTTCTCACCTGTTGTTCTGCAGTTTAGTTAGTGTTTTTCTGGTTAATTGTTCTTTTCTTCCGTAAATAGTTTGCTAAGTGTTAGTACAGGTTGCATCTCTCTAAACCCGGATTCTTTCATCCTGATGTTGCTGAACAAGAGAGCCTCAGGGGAGGAGAGCCAGCTGCTGAGAGCCCCACGCACAGCAAGACTGGTGATAGCGGGATGAGGGCCTCAGCAGCCCAGCAGTGATAGCGGAGCTGTGGTAGTGGGACAGAGGCAGCCCAGCAACCTGGCCTATGCATACTGGTCCAGCCATAGGACTGTGTTGTGGTAGCCTGAGAGGGGCTCTGTGCTGGACCAGCAGTGGGGACAGAGCCCAGCAGCCTCACTGGCTACAAGGCCAGGCAGAAGCATCCTAGCAGGGGAAGCCTGTCTGCTGCCACGGCAGTGGAGCCAGGGCCATGGCAACTCAGCTAGGGCCTCAGCAGGTTGGCAGCCTGATTGGGGCTGTGCGCCAGCCAGCAGCAGGGCCAGGGCTTCATGCTGCCATGCGGGCAGTGGGGCTGGAGTAGCAGCTGTGGCAGTGGGGTCAAGGCAGCTGTGTTGCCCAGCTGGCAGCGGGACCTAGGGAGCCAGCAGAGGGGAGGGGTAGCAGGTGCCAGACGAGTGAAGTTCAACATGTAAACTGATTTTGGCGCAGGGGCTCCCTTTGCATCCCCAGCATGTGCGGCGGGGCATGGCAGGGCCCCAGGGCTTCAAACGCTGTGTGAAGTGCCAAAAGCCCATGAAGCTTGTCTCAAGTGCCTCAGGGAAACCCATCAGTCCAAGTACTGCAAGATCTGCAGGTCTTTTCAAAACATGTACTAAGTGGGAAAGGAAGTTCTGGCTTGAAGATCCTCCTATTGGAGGTGGCACTTCACCTGGCACTGGCATTGGGCAGGCACCAGCAACACAGAACGCTGTGGTAACCTCAACACTGGTCACAATCCCCGGTGCCTCAAGGGGCAGGTCTCTGTTGAGGCACGTGCCAGCAGTGTGCCCTCAGGCGAGGCATGTGGCACTGGTGGGTTTGGCACCCGGACCTTCGAGGTCAGGTCAGCACCAGTCCAGCCCACAGCAGGATCCTAGTCCTGTGGAGGACTTTCTGGAGCCCTCAATGCCAGATACCTTCAAGGCTGTGAGAGACCTTATTGCTTTGTCTCCGGCCTTGGCATCAGGATTGGTGAAGAAGCACAACTCTAGGTGGCACCGTGCCACAGTCATGGTACTGGGCACCTCAGCACTGGCTTCGAGGCACCACTGCATGATTTTATTTGAACAGGACCAAGCCCTTTCGTAAGTCTCCACAGTTGTTCGTGGCAATCGCTGAGAGGCTAAACGGTCAATCAGCCCGTCTCCACTCAGAGGATTTCCTCTTGGATAACATCCTGCATCAAGGAGTGCTATGGTCTCACCAAGGTACCAGCCCCTCCTCTAATGGCCCATTCCACTAGGGTACAGGCCTCCTTTGTGGCTCAGGTCCCCATCCTGTAAGTCTGCCATATAGTTTTTGGTCCACACCTTTGCCAACTATTATGTGTTGGCTCATCAGGCTAGGGAGGATGCTGCTCTCGGTAGCACTGTTCTCCGCTCCATGGAAGGTTAGAACTCCGACCCAGCCTTTTGGGTTTCTGCTTTGGAGTCACCCACATGGAATAGACATGAGCAATCAGTTGGCGAAGAAAAGACAGTTACTTACCTTTCAGAACTGTTGTTCTTTGAGATGTGTTGCTCATGTTCATTCCAAATCCCACCCATCTCCCCTTTTTCAGAGTAGTCCAGTAAAAAGGAGCTGAGGGGGTGGAGGGCCAGCAGGGGTATATATTAATCGATACAGTGGCACAACTGCAGGGGGGCTCCCCTGCTGGACCAATGGGTACTGCTAAGGGAAAAACTTCAGATGACTCATGCTCTCAGTGCACGCACACCTACATGGAATGGACACGAGCAACATATCTTGAAGGACAACAGTTACGAAAGGTAATCTTTTTCTTTATTATTCTTATCAAATTTATGTTTTCTGTCATGAGCTAACCAGCTACTTAGAAGTCTCCCCTACCATACTTAATTCAATGGCCTCATCTATTATCATGCAGAAGACTTGAGACCACCCATATACCAACCCGTCCACCCAAATCTTCTCTTGCCCTGTGCCTTGTCTGATCATTTACACTAAGGCAAGTGAGTGCAGAGAGGGCGTAACATTTTCCAGAATCGGAATGGTAACAATTTACCCAAGGGTCCAGGACAATGCAAGAGAGAAAGTTAAGACCCATGTTTTTTCATTACCTGGCCAATGTATTTTCATTAGCAGGCAGAAAAGTACTACATAAGATTGAAACTCTATGGCTAGTTGCTGAAATGCTTCCAAATTAACCTTTATGATGATTTCTTTTGGGCTCCTTGAATTTCGGTCTTATCCTTCTGGCTCTCCTTTCAAACTGAATGGTGTAACTTATATCCATCCATATGCTACAGTTAAACAAGAGGAAGCAAGATAAATATGTGACATGCTCTTTTTTTTATTGGTTTTGTTTTTGTATTCATCTTTTTCAGGAACTCTGCAAATCTGGATTGTTTTCTTAATTTCCTGCTTAGGAACAAGTCTTATCCTAGTTACATCTTGGGTGTAAGAATCTTTTTTGCATTGGATCTATTTCTATAATGCTTTAAGATTGTTTGTCAGACATGACCCCCGTACAGCCCTTCACTTACTGGAACAGAAGGGCAGATATGATAGTAGAGCTGAGCTTGGGGTACAAATAAGGAGAATTGTGGACACTGTGATAGTGGGGCCCACGTGCACAGCTTACTAGGAGCCAGAGGTCCCTATCATATCATGATGCACATTTCCAAACATTTTATATAAAACATAGAGATCCATATTTAATTAGTACCAGTATTTTCTTTGATGTATTAGTCTTGATGCTGGTTACTGGCTTCAGTGGGTGTTAGATCAGACCCATAATGATTAAACGTCACCAAAAATCTTGCTTATGCTGAGGGAGGCTGCATTTAGCCCTCAGGCTGCACTGGATGTCCCTAGTTAGATATTAACTTGTTTCTAATATTTATTTCATTATATGAAATAAGTTCTCTGCTGCCACAGTGCAGGGCAGTAACCTGCTTCATGCACAATGAAGAATTTCTTGATCATTTTCAGTTACTAGTTGCTTTCATTCACTACAAAAGGACAATGAATCTTTCCTGTGCAATTCAGTGGCTCACCAAATTGCCATTGCTGGAAGTACCAGGCCTAAGTCCCACCCTTCTACTTAGGCTGCCAGAAGAGTTTGTCCATTGTTGTAGCAACCCATTGGCAGCCACTATTAGCATTACGACAATAACAATTGTTACAAACTGTAGGCCAATTATTTTAATTTATCAGACTAACAGGCAGGGTAGGTTGAATGAGGAGAGAAGCTACTAAGAGGAAAAAAATTATCAGGTGATTTTCTCATTCTGTTGCTATTTCTCTCCTCATTCATTACTAATGGGAAGTAATGAGCAGAGCTTCACAAAAGTGGAGTGTGTCAGGTGGGAAGGCCAAAGCAGAATTTTAACAGAAGGTTAATAGGTAAGATTTTACAGAAGGATAATAGGTAGAAATAGATTTTCCCCTGTATAAAGCAAAAGCTTTGTAATGCAAGGAATTAATTCAGACTCAGCTCCATGGCACCTCTTCTCAGATGAATACCATCCCAATGTGCAAATCTTCCTCAGCTGTGGCTCAGACACTCTGTTCCCACAATGCCAGTAGGGACTTTTCCTTTCCTGAATGATGTCCTGGACACCAGATGGTATAGAATTTTAACATGTTGCCTGCTGCAACTCACAGGCATTGGAATTTTTGAATAGGATACAACTGTCATGTGCTTGATGTATATTGATAGAGCTGTAGGAATGCCCATTTATGCCCCACCTTCTAAAGCACTTTGAAGATTGGAACAAAATTATCAGAGAACTATTTCTCATAAATTATGAAAAGAAAGAGTCTTGGGCAGCAAGGTTTCTGGCATCATATCCCTTTCTTCACAACAGCACAGTATGGCTTTTGTTTAGATAGAGGAACTAATTTCAATACCTGCTTTAGAGAGGTAATGGTAACTGGAAAGACAGGCCACAAGCTTGTCTACTATTTGATTAATTTTGACACCTAGAAATATTTACATAGGGACTCCATATGCCTGCTTAGAAAACATTTCTAGGACTGATACCTACTTTTTTTTTTCATGCTTAGCAGTAGGACTTTGACAACCATCAAGCAGCTAAGAGCTCCAGAATGTTGTGATGCTATCAGTATCATCATTATTACTATTATTCCATAACTGCCCAATGCTAAGTTGTTTCCAGCTTACCACTAACCTGATCTGATATAGCTATTCTTGTATTTTGTTCTCTCACACACACTAGCAGTTGAAATGAACTAAAAGGAGGTGTGTGCTGAGATTTTGGAAAATTGTACAGCACAAGGTGTGAGCTGAATGCTCTGCTTTTCTGTGAGGGATCATAACCCACGTTGTTTGGTCTTCCAGATTGTCTGCCCACTCTGTAAGGCATGCTTCAGTAGTTTGCATATAAATGAAAATTGAATTGGATTTATGTATATAGATGTCCACAAATGGAAATTCAAACATGATCTGGGAATGCTTGATTTTGCATTGCAGCTGTTCTGCAAGACATTTTGTGAAATCCCATTCTGAGGATGAAAGAAAGCTATGTGTAGCACCAGCACATCCAATTGCTGGAGACAATTGACTGTGGCTGACCACTACCAAAAAATCATGTGTGCAATGAAAATTTGGATCTTTGTAAATCTTTACCATGGTGGTAAAACTGTGGTCAGATGTGGGCCCATTTTAAACTCTACGGAACAATTTTTTCTGCTGGGCTCAAGCTAGTTTTGATTTAAACAACTGTTGGGTTAAAATAGTTTCTACCAGCAGCAAGTTCTGAGTAGCTCTGTTTCTCTAGACAGGACACTGATTGGGTAGAGATGTGGAACTGATAATTACTGTGACTACTACCAGCCATTTCTTAGGAGGGTAGGTGCTGAGAGTAGCTCAAAGTCTTGTATAGGTATTGTAAGAGCTCATACAAAAATGCTCATTTTGTTTTTGTCATGTTGAGGATTTTATCAGTTTAGAAAAAAATAAAATAAGATTCCCTGAGAGCTTTTGTTTCACATTTTTCTCTCTCATAGGAGAGGAGTCCTTTCTTCAGCACCTCTTGTGCTGGTTGTGACCAAAGGAGTATTTCTGTGCTTGCTCTTATAGTGAGGACTCAGGCTTCTCTGCATACTCAACCACTGATTTCTCTGTTTCCCAATTCTCACAGCTGTGAATTTGGATGTACAGGGTCTGTTTGGGGAGACTCATATGTGTAAAGGGCTCTGCCCTTCTTGTGGTCTCTCTGCCCAGCTGTCTGCGGGAGAGGAAGTGTCCAGTATGTGGCCTGGACCCAGGCTCCTTATCCCGTTGTGGCTGCTGGGGGCTCAGGGAGGGGGAAACCCAGGCCTGCCCACTCCTCTGGGTCCCAGCCCAGGTACCCTGTAAGTAGCAGTTACCTGCTGAGTCTCAGAGGTCGGTTGTTATCATGTTCCCTGGGCCACTTCCCTGGGAAGCTGCTCTGTCCAGCCATTTCTCTTGGGCCTTGTGGTCAAGTCCTTCTTCTCCAGGGTTCTGCAAACTGTTGCTGTTGGCTTAATGGCTAGTCTTTAGCCGCTGGACCTGGTTCTGACCAGGCGTGAAGTCCAGCTCCCACTCGGAGCTGTCCCGAGTGCTACTGTTCTCCCAGTCAGCCTTTAGGTCTGCCTGGGTCGAGCTCCAGCAAGGAACTGGCAGGCTCCGTGTTTAGGCATTTTATTTTGAACCAAAAGCCCCTATTCTCATTGTACGATGTTCTTACAAAGGAGGGTATAGGAAATCTTTGTCTCATTATTGCTTGAAGGGAAGGTATTTACTATTAATAATGAGCTCTGTGTGAGCCACTGGCTTTCCATCCGGGAGGAACCATGTGAATTTTTTCTGTTGTGATGGTAGGTATATAACTGTGCTTCCTTTGATTGTTTACAGGAAGGCATAGCACACTATTCATCCTGGTCTTGGAATGACCCAACCAAGGACAATAGTCCCTTAGATCAGAGGTTCTCAAACAGAGGTCCCAAGCCCACTATGGGGGGAGGGGGGGGGTGTAAGCAGGTTTCAGGAAGTGTGTCAAGCAGGATCACTGTTAGATTTGGGGCTGAAGGCAGAAAATTGAAGCCCCACTGCATGGAGCTGACACCTAAGGCCTTGAACCCTACCATCCAGAAATGAAGCCAAAGCTTGGGCAAAACAGCTTTGCAAAGGCCTTGTGACAGAGCCTCAGGCAACATGTCCTGCTTGCTACCCACTAATGCCGGCCTTGGAAAAGGTGGACAGTGGAGTTTTTTTCAAGCATATTGGAGTGACCTCAGAAAGACAGATTGAGATCCCCTGCTCAGATGGCCCTGATAACCTGACATCAAGCTACTGCAGCCTGGCTGGTGCCCAAGGAACTTCTCTAGGAGTGACCTAGTGCCACTCAGAGCTTTACTCAGTAACTCAAGGGACTCGAACATGAGAAGGGATTTTTCACTTGTGCCTTTATAGTTCGACTATGGTGCTGCTGCTGCATGAGAATAATCCTCAGGTGACTCAGCTTCTTATCCTTTCATATGATGTCAGCCTCTGGAGAGGAGGAAGGATAGAGAGAGATCCCTTCCTTCTTCCTCTTTCATCTCTTAGCACCTATCTCTGGAAGGGCCACCAGGTTGCCCAGGAGGAACAGGCTTCTCCCATACCCAGACTTTCTGCATTGAGAGAGCTTCTGGGAGGAGAAAAGCCCCAGCAAATACCAAAAATGGGTTTCACCCTGATTTTTACTCTCTGTGCTCTAAGCAGGCTGTACAGGGTTCTCCCCTGCCTGGGAATCCTCATGTTCAATCCTTCCTATGGTGGAATTGCAGGTTTGTGCAGGAGATTTGGTAGAGTCCGAGCACACTAGTCTGGCTCAAAGCACGTACTGTACCAAAGTGTAGGTGGGGAGCTTGCAGCAATATAGTAGAGGAAGCCTACAAGACAGATACTGTGCCCAGAGCCTTAATATTCCAATGATTCCTCACCTCAGAAGAGGGAGAGTGGAGCTACAAGTTAAAATTAAGTCACTTCTGCGCAAAAATGAATACAAATTAGTTATAAGACAAACTGGTCAGTAGAAACTGAACCAACTACCAATCTGTTCCACTGCCAGAGGCATAATTTCTGGTGATCGGAGCTGAAGGGCAGGGTTTACTCCTGGGGCCTCCAGCAACACCACTGAATCACCTCCAGATTCTACAGGTGAAAGATTACCCAGTTGTTATGAATAAACAGGCTGTGCAGCAGCAATTTGTCTTGCTATTTACACTGTGGACATTACTGCCTGACTAAACATTTTTTTTAAATCTCCAGAATAATACATAAATGCTGTAGAAGAACATTAGCAGCCCGGTATATAGAGGAAGCAGAATCTGAACTTAAAACCAGACTGAAAACCTTTGCCAATATTGCAAGTGATGCTGAGATTGAAAAGCAAAGAAGTAAACTAAAAAACCCAGACAGATATAAGAGAAAGAATCTACCAAAATATAAAGTTGGGTTTATAGAGGAAGAGTCTGTGGGATTATTAAGCAATGATGGCATAACAGAGGCATCAACACCTGTTGGCTCAAATCCATCTCCTGACCGTACATGGCCTAGTGAAGTGGAAACAAGCTTTGAGGAAGACAAATCACAGGATACTTTGGGAGAAGAAATCCACTGTGTTTCAAAAGGACTGACTTCTAATCAGCAGAAGTTTAACACAATGAATCTCAAACTGCCTTAACTTCTCCATGCGATATATGGTGAATTATAAAGCATAGTTCTGATCATCTGTTGCAAAATGTGAGGTTAAGGATCCTTCCTTATAAAAAAAAGTTCATATCCATAGGGCTATTGCATTATCCTAAAAAGATTTCATGTATTTTTTTAAATCTACAATAAGGTATATACTTTATAGTGGTGTGTTCTGACACCTGAAAACTTTATTTGAAAAGCAAAAGCTCTTTAAAAAAACAGCATTCTCCTTCAGGCAGACAATTATCCTTAAAAATGTGTATTACCTACCAATTTTAGATGCACTGTTCTGCTGAAGCATACTGTACCTTCTCTTCTTTTTGGAAACATTAAATACTTTCTGTAGATGTAGAATAAAATATTTTGTTTGGTCATCTGCAAACTATTCAGCAGTTTGATAATGGGTTCCAAGCTAATTAATGTATTACTTTCTAAGAACTCTACAGAGCCAAAATAGAAGCTAAATATTAATTAATTTGATATTATGCTACAATACTGTCGTTACATTTTTCATAAGCTAAATACAAACTACATAAAACTAAGTGTATAGCATTTTAATATGTTACATACTTTGCAATGTGTATTATGCTCAGAAGAAATTTAGAGAAACTTAAAACTCATGTTATGCTTGTTCAAAACTAAAGTTCATGTGATCAAAAATGGTATTGGGACTTTAGCTAGTAACAAATCCACTGGGAGGTCTCAGTATTATGAACGTGGGAAATGTTTTACTCTGTTAAATGATATAATAAAAACAAGAATTTTAACACTAAATTATGGACATCCTATCAGCTAATTCTTAGTACTCATTTAATTTGTTCCACAGTTAAAATCAGTTTTTAATCCATGGAAAAGCAAAGTTACTCACCTTAGTGCAGTAACTGTCGTTCTTCAAGATGGTGTCCCCATGGGTGCTCCACTATGGGTGCTGGGCTTGCCCCAGCGCCGCAGAACAGAGACTTGTTGGAATCAGTCTTCGACCGGGCTATGCATGCGCCCCTGTGCTTGCAGTGTTTGCGCTATTTTCCTGTGCACGGTCCATCCAACCGCTAGTTCCTCGAGACCGACTCAGAGTCTGTAAGACACAAAGAAAAGCGGACTCCGAAGCGGGGAGGAGGGCAGGTAGTGGAGCACCTGCAGGGACACCATCTCGAAGAACGACAGTTACTGCACCAAGGTGAGTAACTTCACTTTCTTCTTCAAGGATGTCCCCGCGGGTGCTCCACTGTGGGTGACTGCATAGCAGTAGTTGCCAGAACGGAAGGAGGGAAGTACGGAATCCCTATCTATTTGCTGTGGAGAGCACCGCAATTGCTACCACCCCATCCAAATGGGTGCCCAAAGATAAAGAATAATGTCTAGCACAAGTCTCGTGGGAGGACCAAGTGGCCGTCCTGCAAATGTCTTAAAGGGAAACCCCTTTAAGGAAGGCCGTCAATGCAGCCATGGCTCTGGTGGAATGGGCACGAGGGTGGAATGGGAGAAGTATACATTTAGCTGCATAGGCTTCTGTTATGCAGAAGGTTATTAGGTTAGAGATCATTTGGGAGGATATTGGTTGCCCTTTTGACCTACGTGCCAAGGAGATGAACAAACGGTCAGTGAGTCTGAAGGGTCTGGTCTGGTCAATATAGCAGGCCAGGGCCCTCCGCGCATCTAGGGAATGGAGGGCTACTTCCTGTGGTGAGGAATGGGGTTTTGGGTAGAACACTGAAAGAACTATTGGCTCATTGACGTGGAAATGGGATGCAATCTTTGGAACGAATTTTGGGTGTAGTCTTAGTATTGTGTACAGTGGTGTGGCCATCATGGCTGAAAGCTCTCCTACTCTGCATGCTTATGTTACGGCAAGTAGGAAAAGCGTTTTTACCATTAGAAGGTGTAATGATGCGGTGGCCAATGGCTCAAACGGTGGCCCCATTAGGGCCTCAAGAACCACGTCAAGTTCCATATTGGTGAGACTGGATCTCATGGGGGACTCATTAGTGAGGCCCTTGAGGAATCTCTTTGTGGTGGGATGAGTGAAGATGGAAGCTTGGTCCACCAGTGATGTAAAGGCTGAAATCGCCACCAGGTGCACCCAGAGAGATGCTAAGGCAAGGCCAGTCTCTTTTAGGTGCAATAGACAGTCCAGCACAGAGGGAGAGGAGCCACTCCAGGGAGATGATGTTTAATAGCACACCAGGAAGTGAACCTGCGCCACTTGTGAAGGTAAGTATTCCTCGTAGTTTGCCGTCTACTACGTATAAGAACGTGTTTAACTGGTGCTGAACACTGAGATTCAGATGGGTTCAGCCAGTTAGGAACCATGCTGTGAGGCTCAAAGTGTGAATCTGGGGATGCCTCAGCTGTCCCCGGTTCTGAGTGAGGAGGTTCGGGAGGAGTGGGAGGTGGATGGGTAGACGTGAGGACAGGCGAGCCAATGAAGAAAGGGGAGCCAATCTTGGCGTGGCCAATCTGGCTCTAAGAGGATGCGTCGTGCCCCATGTGTCCTCACTTTCTGAATCATAGAATCATAGAATAATAGGACTGGAAGGGACCTCAAGAGGTCATCGAGTCCAGCCCCCCGCCCTCAAGGCAGGACCACGCTCCGTCTACACCATCCCTGACAGATGTCTATCTAACCTGTTCTTAAATATCTCCAGAGAGGGAGATTCCACCACCTCCCTTGGCAATTTATTCCAATATTTGACCACCCTGACAGTTAGGAATTTTTTCCTAATGTCCAATCTAAACCTCCCCTGCTGCACTTTAAGCCCATTACTCCTTGTCCTGTCCTCAGAAACCAAGAGAAACAAATTTTCTCCTTCCTCCTTGTGACACCCTTTTAGATATTTGAAAACCACTATCATGTCCCCCCTTAATCTTCGTTTTTCCAAACTAAACAAGCCCAGTTCACGAAGCCTGGCTTCATAGGTCATGTTCTCTAAACCTTTAATCATTCTTGTCACTCTTCTCTGTACCCTTTCCAATTTCTCCACATCTTTCTTGAAATGTGGCGCCCAGAACTGGACACAGTACTCCAGCTGAGGCCTAACTAGTGCAGAGTAGAGCGGCAGAATAACTTCACGAGTTTTGCTTACAACACACCTGTTAATACAACCTAGAATCATATTTGCTTTTTTGGCAACAGCATCACACTGTTGACTCATATTCAACTTGTGGTCCACTATGACCCCTAGATCCCTTTCCGCCATGCTCCTTCCTAGACAGTCGCTTCCCATCTTGTATGTATGGAACTGATTGTTCCTTCCTAAGTGGAGCACTCTGCATTTCTCCTTATTAAACCTCATCCTGTTTACCTCTGACCATTTCTCTAACTTGCTAAGGTCATTTTGAATTATGTCCCTATCCTCCAAAGAAGTTGCAACCCCACCCAGTTTGGTATCATCTGCAAACTTAATAAGAGTACTCTCTATCCCAATATCTACATCATTGATGAAGATATTGAACAGTACGGGTCCCAAAACAGACCCTTGAGGAACTCCACTTGTTATCCCTTTCCAGCAGGATTTAGAACCGTTAACAACAACTCTCTGACTACGGTTATCCAGCCAATTATGCACCCACCTTATCGTGGCCCTATCTAAGTTATATTTGCCTAGTTTATCAATAAGAATATCATGCGAGACCGTATCAAATGCCTTACTAAAGTCTAGGTATATGACATCCACCGCTTCTCCCTTATCCACAAGGCTCGTTATCCTATCAAAGAAAGCTATCAGATTAGTTTGGCATGACTTGTTCTTCACAAACCCATGCTGGCTATTCCCTATCACTTTATTACCTTCCAAGTGTTTGCATATGATTTCCTTAATTACCTGCTCCATTATCTTCCCTGGGACAGACGTTAAACTGACCGGTCTATAATTTCCTGGGTTGTTCTTATTCCCCTTTTTATAGATGGGCACAATATTTGCCCTTTTCCAGTCTTCTGGAATCTCCCCTGTCTGCCATGATTTTTCAAAGATCATAGCTAAAGGCTCAGATACCTCCTCTATCAGCTCCTTGAGTATCCTGGGATGCATTTCATCAGGACCTGGTGACTTGCTGACATCTAACTTTCCTAAGTGATTTTTAACTTGTTCTTTGTGTATCCTATCTTCTAAACTTACCCTCTCTCTGCTTGTATTCACTACGTTAGGCACACCTCCAGACTTCTCGGTGAAGACCGAAACAAAGAAGTCATTGAGCATCTCCGCCATTTCCAAGTTCCCTGTTACTGCTTCTCCCTCCTCACTAAGCAGTGGGCCTACCCTGTCCTTGGTCTTCCTCTTGCTTTTAATGTATTTATAAAAGGTCTTCTTGTTTCCCTTTATGCCTGTAGCTAGTTTGATCTCATTTTGTGCCTTTGCCTTTCTAATCTTGCCCCTGCATTCCCGTGTTGCTTGCCTATATTCATCCTTTGTTAGTTGTCCTAGTTTCCATTTTTTATATGACTCCTTTTTTATTTTGAGATCATGCAAGATCTCCTTGTTAAGCCAAGCTGGTCTTTTGCCATATTTTCTATCTTTCCTACACAGCGGAATTGTTTGCTTTTGGGCCCTTAACAACGTCCCTTTGAAATACTTCCAACTCTCCTCAGTTGTTTTTCCCTTCAGTCTTGCTTCCCATGGGACCTTACCTACAAGTTCTCTGAGCTTATCAAAATCTGCCTTCCTGAAATCCATAACCTCAATTGTGCTGGTCTCCCTTCTACCTTTCCTTAAGATCATGAACTCTATTATTTCATGATCACTGTCCCCTATACTGTCTTCCACTTTCAAGTTCTCAACTAGTTCCTCCCTATTTGTTAAAACCAAATCCAGAACAGCTTCTCCTCTGGTAGCTTTTTCAACCTTCTGAAACAGAAAGTTGTCTCCAATGCAGTCCAGAAACTTATTGGATAGCCTGTGCCTCGCTGTGTTAGTTTCCCAACATATGTCTGGATAGTTGAAGTCCCCCATCACCACCAAATCTTGGGCTTTGGATAGTTTTGTTAATTGTTTAAAAAAGGCCTCATCCACCTCTTCCACCTGGCTAGGTGGCCTGTAGTAGACTCCTAGCATGATATCACCCTCGTTTTTTACCCCTTTTAGCTTAACCCAGAGACTCTCTACACAGCTATCTCCTACGTTCATCTCCACTTCAGTCCAAGTGTGTACATTTTTAATATACAAGGCAACCCCTCCTCCCTTTTTTCCCTGTCTGTCCTTCCTGACAGAATGTGCTCAGCATGTTTGTCTTAGACCTGCCCACTCTTCCCTGTTGAAGAAACAAAAACATGAACAGGGAAGAACTGTTCATTCTTCTTTTAAAAGACTAGGGGGGCAGTGTCCCCTGCTCTCTCTGCTTCCAAACTCAGCCCTTCAGTCCAAGTGTGTACATTTTTAATATACAAGGCAACCCCTCCTCCCTTTTTTCCCCTGTCTGTCCTTCCTGAGCAAGCCGTACCCTTCCATACCAACATTCCAATCATGCGTCCCATCCCACCAGGTTTCTGTAATATCAATGATATCATAGTTGTATTTATTGGTTAGCAATTCCAGTTCTTCCTGCTTATTACCCATACTTCTCGCATTTGTATATAGGCATTTAAGATACTGATTTGATCTTGCCTCCCTGTTGTGCCCTGACCCTCCTTTCTCCTTGCCATTATAGGCCGTAGTCCCCCCCATTTCCAACCCATCTCCCAGTCCTGTACATGCAGCACTTACCTGTGGGCTTTGCTCACCTGCCCCCGTCGAACCCGTCGAAGGAGTCTCGGAATCAGAGGAATGGGGGGAAAGGCATAGAGGAGGGGTCCATGCCAACTGAT